TCATCCACCTAGAAATAACTGGATGACTCAATTCACAAATTCCTAGCTGTTACACAGCCTCTTTCCTGAAGCTGATCTGACTGAGAATCCCTGTCTACTTGTTCTCCTTTCCCAATTTCTCTTTCACAATTGCCCTTCTCTCATGGTAAAATGCAAGAGCATACTTCTCAGCTGTCCACCCACCCATCCATACATCTATTCATCTTCCAAGAACTTTACTTTTGTGCATTTCCACAAGGTGCAAATAGCTCTGGAGCCCCCAGAACAAAGGGAAAATTCGAGATGCAGAACTCCTGTAAGAAGCTTCCTCTAAGTGCCAAACCTGTGGCGAGACCTCATGCCTTACATTGTTTCTTTCTTTCCTTTTTATACCTTTCTTTTCCCCCCATTTATGACTTAGAATTTGAAGTAAGTGGTTATCAGATACACGTATTAAGACATTTATTGGAGTTGGGACACAAAGTCAGTTTTCTGACTGACAGTTTGACAGTGAAGACTGTGTTTGCCAATTAAGTTATATAGTGGAAGTTTTCCATAAACTGAAGGTGCAGCTACATGATTTTGACAAAAATGTGTTCAATGTACACATACAATATTTACTGCATAAGTTACTATATTCTTTACAACCATTAATCTTATGAAATATTTACATACCAATTTTTAAAATGTGTGAGGTAGCATATAATTATTTTATTCAGAAGCACATGAACCAAGACATTTGAGGGCCTGTGAGTTAGAGTACCTGAAGAGACTGAGAAGGACCAGAAAAAGCCAGGGGCATAGGGAGAGAACCGGAAGAGAAGGCAGAAGGGACTCCAGGAACTACACATGACAGCAGAGAAAGAGGGATTGAGGAAAGTGCCACACACTGCACAAAAGTCAAACAGAATAATCATTAGAATTTTTGTGAATGCAGTGTCTGCAGATGATACAGAGTTCGTAGTCTGTTTAGATCACTAAATAAGTTGGGCAGTGATGAAAAGGAAAATAGAATTCTCTTTACAATACTCTTTAGCCAGATCATCAGGGTTAAAATGGTTTAGGACCCAAAGAGCAATTCAAGATGTTGGGCAGTGAAGACGGCTTGAAGGAATACAATTGGGGAGGGGGGCACAGAGGGAGGAACTTGCCTTCAGGACTAGGAAGACAGCTCTCCCTCTCAGCCTGGCAGGGGTGAGCCTCCACCTCCAGGTGATGGTTTCAGTGAAGTAGGAAGTGAATGCCTATGCTGAAAATAGCCATCTGGGTGGAGAAGGAAGGGAATGAAACAACTACTTGGAAGAAATGCCAAGAAATCCAAAATGGAGTAAGAGAGAGGACCACTTTAGAATTGTTGTTCCCTGTTTTTTCTTATAGAGTTTTAAAAATGTAACCTTATTAATACTGCTTCCTTTAAGGTTTCTGTATTTTTCAAAGTTCCAATAATTAACAAGGAATAAGGATTATTGTTTTTCAAAATAAGAGGTTTAAGGAAATCAACCAAGGTTCAGATATACAATGTCATCAGACTACTTCAAACTAAAAAGCTTTTCCACAGCAAAGGAAACTATCTACAAAATGAAAAGGAAAACTACAGAATGGGAGAAAGTATTTACCAACTACTTATCTGGTAAGTGATAAATATATCCAAAATATACAAGGAGCTCACACAATTCAATAGCAAATAATAATAATAATAAATCAATTAAATATGGACAAAGAACATGAAGAGACATTTTCCAAAGATACACAAATGACCAATAGGTACAAGGAAAGGTGTTCAACATCACTAATCATCAGGGAAATGCAAACCAAAATTGCAATGAGATATCACCTCACACCTGTTTGGATGTCTGCTATGAGGAAGACAAGAGATGCCAAATGTGGGCAAGCATGTGGAGAAAGGGAACTCTTATATGCTCTTGGAAGAAATGCAACCTGGTACATTCACTATGGAAAGCAGTATTTACATAGGTTTTCAAGAAACTAAGAATAGAGCTACCATATTATAGAGCAATTCCATTTCTCAGTACATATCCAAAGGAAATGAAATCATAATCTTAAAGAGATATCTGTACTCTCATGCTCACTGCAACATTACACATAACAATGGAAACAACCCAAGTGTCCATCAGTGGATGACCACACAAAGAAAATATGGTATGTATACACACACACACACACACACACACACACACACAATTATTCATCCATTACAAAGAAAGAAATCCTGCCATTTGCAACAACATAGATGGACCTTGAGGGCATTATGCTAAGCGAAATAAGTTAGAGAGGCAAATACTGATATTCTCACCTATATGTGGAAACTAAAAAAAAAGAAACTTAGAGAATAGATTGATAGTACTAAATGCTGGTGACAGAGGAGAAAAATGGATGAAGGGGGTCAAAATGTACAAACTTCCTGTTATATTACAACTATATCTCAATAAAAAAACTTTCCCCACACTATCGTCAGCAAGTTGGTTGCTCATATCTTCTACTAATATTTTGATTTGTTCTTATTCCATCTGGATAGATTTTTAAGTCTTTATTCCATCTGGATAGATTTTTTTGTACATTCTGTTATGGGCTGAAGTGAGTCCCTTCAAATTTCATATATGGAAGCCCTAAACCCCAGTAACTCAGAATGTGTCTGTATTTGGAGAGAGGCTTTTAAAGAGGCGACTCAAGTTAAATGAGGTTATATGGGTGGGTCTTAGCTCCTTCTAACTGCTGTCTTAATAACAGGAAATGTGGACATAGAGAGACACACCAGGGATTCTCAAGCACAGAAGAAAGATCACGTGAGGACATGGTGAGAAGGCAGCCATCTGAGAGCCAGAGAGAGAGAGGTCTCAGGAGAAAACAAGCCAGCCCACACCTTCATCTGCACTTCCAGCCTCCAGAATTGTGAGAAAATAAGTTTGTGGTATTTGGCTACGGCAGCTCTAGAAAACTAATACAGCATGAGATACACATTGCATTTTTTTTAATATGGAAAAACCACGTTTCTAATTCCATGTATTGAATAGTCAGTCCCTCCTTTCTTCACTGATCTATCATGCCTCCTCTGTCACATACCAAAGTTCCACAAGTATGTGGATGTTTCTAGGCTCTTTATTCTATTCCACTGATTAGTCTATCCCTGTGAGAGGACCACACGTTCTGATTGCTACAGCTTCACTGTAAGTCATGATAGTTGGTAGAGAAAGGCCTTCCCCCTTTGATTCTAAAACAGCTTTGCTGTTTTTGTTCACTTACAAATATCACATCAAGTTTACAGTCAGCTTTTCACTAAAAATCAAATTGGGACTTTAAATTTGTATTAAATCTGTAGAGCTACAGGAAAATATTTTGTAGCCAAGATTTCTTTCCTTTGGAAAGTACATTTATTTCCTGTTTTGTTCTATGGGCTACAGTTCTGGTTCTGTCCACATGATGGCACCACAAAGCAAAAAAATCACATTGTCCCAGTTGATGGAAGATTCCATAACACAGGTACAGTGTTAACACTTTATTAAATACCTGGATGTTTTGGAGGACTGGCCTGAATTTCATACGGAATGTCCAGTAGTCTGTCAAATACTGAAGCACAGTTGGTAAAAATATATACAAAGTGTATGATTAGCAAATAACTGAAATAATGAAAAATAGCATGGTCATCTATTCTTCACAGCCCTTTTATCTTAGATGGCCATGAAAAAATACAGATACAAAGTTCATTACCAATCAATAAAATAAAGACATGGTGTAAAATTAGCTCTGGAAATTAAGGTAATATTTTGTAAACCACCAAGCCTCCTATAGGCTGACCAATAGATCTGCATAAATCTGGGGGGCAAAGGTCACCCCCCCAGGTGGATAAGGGGAGGATTATGTAATTCTTCATTTCTACCCCCATCCCACCCCTTACTCCAGCTCTGATAATCTTGGGCAAAGTCTACTTATATTTATGAGGAACATGCCTGTGCTTGCCCTAAACTGTTTAAAGAAAGAATAAAGCAAGAGACAAACTCTCCCTTTCTACTCTGTAGTGCTAATGAAGCCTCCTTTCTACATTATGTTGGAAGTATTTGAGACAGAAGGCCTTTGAAAATGTTTTAAACAAACCTTTTCATAATGTTTGTTGATGAAATAATTGATACCACGCATACCTAAACTTGACAGTGGACTGTAGCAAACCCTTTTTCTAAGCACCTTCCAGAGCTTTGTTAGTTTGGTATTCTGAATGGCTCTGGAATTTAGTATCAAAAAACTGTTTACCAAGGCTAGCACAGACAAGTAGTGACTTTGTGGCATCATACGACACTGATGGACAGTGACTGCAAACGGTTGTGGGGGGACTTGATAATAGTGAATGTAGTAACCACGATGTTTTTCATGGGAAACCTTCATAAGAGTGTATATCAATGACACCTTAAAAAAAAGCTAAAAAACTGTTTACCGTATCTTGTTAACTTAGATTAAAGGATTTATCTACTGTTAATTAACATAACTTGGTTGATCTACTAAAATATATATTAGAGAATACAGTTATTTAACTAAGCTCCAGTTTCCTCATCTGTAAAACAGGAGTAACAATTATTTCCCACTCAGAACTGTTGTAAGATTAAATAAGGCATTTCAAAATACTAAATATGTTGCCTTTCACGGAAGTGCTCAATAAAATTTACACTATTGTCATTAGAGGGAAAACGAAAACAAAAACAAAAACAAAAAACGGTGTTCTTAGGTTAGCAAAACTGGATAGTAAAATCTGTAAACAGCATGTTTCAGCTCATTTGCCTCTGCTCCCTTCATCCCCACCAATCCACCCACCTCCGAAGTCCTTGACACGACTCTCCCAGCACCAGGTCACCAAATAAGCCATTTTAACGACGTGATTCGGTATCACCCATTCCGAACAGGAAGTGATAGATCATTCCTATTGTAAAACCATCGTTACCACCAAGGGGGCTTTTAACACCACTAACTGCCGAAGTCCCATATTCTCATTAACCGCTGCTCACGCGGACCGCTACCTGCGCTTCTGGAGCGTTCCACGAGATGGCGCCCGTGATCCCGTCTTCAGACCGCGTGAAGCTCAAGCCTTCGAAAGGCACCGGCTTCCCTCTCCAAGATAAGGACTTGACCTCCGACAAAGGCCCGCTCTACAGTGAAGGGCAGAGGCCACACAGGCCTATTCCGCCACGGTCAACTGATAGGGCCTAGCCGGGGACCGCTTCACCCAGACGCGGCGCGCTCGGAACGCTGCTCCGCGAACGCGGGCCTTCCCGCAGTGGCCCCGTGTGGACGGGAGCTGGTGGGGGTGGAGGGCGGCGGGGCTAGCGGGCGGCAGCACCCCGGCCCTCAGGTCGGCCAGGTGAGGCTTCACGTGGTTGGGCCGTAGACCCCAGGCCCAGGCACACCGTGGCTCTGGAGGCGTCGGGCTGTGGGGCGTTCAGGAAGGACTGTGTGGGGGAGGGCTGCGTTCACAGAAGCCGCCGGCGGGGCTCGACCGCCGCGCGGCCTGCCCCCCGGCTGAGGGGAGGGGCGGGCCCGGGCGTCGGCCCTCGGGTTTCCACTTCAAACTCAAGCTCGAAGCATTCAAAGCTCACGGCGAGCGTTCCTCGGGGTGGCACACGGCCGCACTGCGCCCGCGTCCGCTCCCACTCGGAAGCCGGACCTCAGCAGCCCAGCCGGGCCGGGCGCACGGCGGGGCCGCTGGGGCGGCCGCGGGGCGGGGCGTCGCCTGTGACGTCGCATCCCTTTTCGGTTCTCCGCCCCCTTCTCGGCCCGTATATAAGACTTCACCGGGCGATCGCTTCGCACTGGCGGACGCAGGCGGCGGCGAGGTCGTGGGTGGCGGCGGGGCCTCGAGGGCGAGAGCTAGCTCGGACGTGTGTCCGTGCTTTGGAGGTGGCAGTAGGTAGTGATGGAGCTCTTGCGGACTATCACCTATCAGCCGGCCGCCAGCACCAAGATGTGCGAGCAGGCGCTGGGCAAGGCTTGCGGCGGGGACCTGAAGAAGAAGCGACCGCAGCAGTCCCCCGAGGAGCCGCAGCCGCCGCAGCCCCCGGCGCAGGTGCAGCCGGCGGCCCCGCACCACCATCACCACCACTCGCACTCGGGGCCCGAGATCTCGAGAATTATCATCGACCCCACGACGGGGAAGCGCTACTGCAGAGGCAAAGTGCTGGGAAAGGTGACGAGCGGCGGGCACCCGGCTGCCGGGCGGGAGGGAGGTGTGCCTGGGCGTCCCCCGAGCCTGACCGGACCCTGAGCTCGCGTGCTCGCCGCTCTTGCTCTCTCCGGGGTCCGGTCCCGGCGCGCGTGGGCTGGTCACCTGCCCTCCACTGGCTTTTGTGCGGCGACAGCGCCGTATGGGTTTAGTCCGTAGCCGCGGCTCTGTGTGCCTCCCCCAGCCCAAAGAAATTGATCGTGAGACCAGAAGCGAGGGCTTTCTACACCAAACCTAGATCCCTCCACCAGCTTCCGAGACAATTTTCTTGACAAGTCTCTTCAGACATTATTTCTCTTCTCCCGGATCCCAACCCCTCCACAAAGCACCTCTTTCTAAAGAGAGAAAGGAAACTGTTGTTAACTTAGTGTGTTCAGGAGTGCTTTTCTCTTTGTGAAGGAGCTTTTTAAAGGTAGACTGCATACCATTGTCCACCCTTCCTCCCCCATATTTGCTTTCCTTTCTTATTTTTATTTATTTATTTATTTATTTTAAAAAAATCTGCCGTCCATATTTCTGCCATACTCAATTCCGTCTCGGCTTTGTTTCCTTTTAGGGTGGCTTTGCAAAATGTTATGAGATGACAGATTTGACAAACAACAAGGTCTATGCTGCAAAAATAATTCCTCACAGCAGAGTAGCTAAACCTCATCAAAGGGAAAAGGTGTGTATGACTGTTGAGTAAAGTATTTTCTTTGTGTGCAGGGATGGCCCTTCCCTGTTAGGAAAATGTCTTCTGCATGTGTAAGCAACTGCCTTCTCAGAGGTGACAGGAGCCTAATAAGCCTTATCTTGCATTTTCTTTTAGATTGACAAAGAAATAGAGCTTCACAGAATTCTTCACCATAAACATGTAGTCCAGTTTTACCACTACTTTGAGGACAAAGAAAACATTTATATTCTCTTGGAATATTGCAGTAGAAGGGTAAGTGTTAACTCCTACTTGAGTACATTTACTTCTCCCAAACTAAAATGGTATTCATACTGTATTTGATCTGGGATTTTAGCTGTGATGGCAATTATACTACAACATTAACTTTCATCATTCATCCTGCAAAAGGAAACCACTGATTTTGATGACTTGGTTTGACAGATTTTTTTTTTCCTTCTCCTCTTCGTAGTCCATGGCTCATATCTTGAAAGCGAGGAAGGTGTTGACAGAGCCAGAAGTCCGATACTACCTCAGGCAGATTGTGTCTGGCCTGAAGTACCTTCATGAACAAGAAATCCTGCACAGAGATCTCAAACTAGGTAAGCCCTTTACTCCGAACACCAGCTTTTGTGTTAGGGACAGTGCTCTTTTCTCCTCTCGCTCCCTTACTATGTATTCATATTCTTATTTGGAATCTAGCCTATGCAATCTTGCTTTTGAATGGATGACTTTAATATTAGGCAACTGGTTGCTTTCAAAGTGTGTGTGCATGTGGTAGAACACCTTTTCAAAGGGATTCAGGTTTTGTTTTGTTTATCCTCTAGGGAACTTTTTTATTAATGAAGCCATGGAACTAAAAGTTGGGGACTTTGGTTTGGCAGCCAGGCTGGAACCTTTGGAACACAGAAGGAGGTAAAGTCAGGAAGATACATACCTTTGTGGAGATCAAAATTGTCCTTGTTAATTTTCAATTATTGTTTTGGAGAAGGACAGGTGATTCTAAAATCTATAAACCATAACAATGTTAACTTAAGGAAACATGTATTAGGTGCCCATTATGAACCAGACAGAATACCTTGTACTTTTAAGCTGATTATGAAAGAAATCTCTTATTTGCCTGAAGTCTGTAAAAATGCCATGCTATACTTGGTTAAAAACACTTTGCCAGGTGACTGAAAAAAGTATATGCATTAAAAATTACCAAATCGATTTGGTCAAATATCAGTTGTTCAGATGCCAAAAAGCAAAAGTCAAATGTTTCCAAATAGAAATGCAACATAGTAGTTTTAAGATTTTATCCAGGGAACTAACATTAAACAGTAGAATAGTTCCTAATAAAATCTTCATATTTTGTCTTTCCAGAACAATATGTGGTACCCCAAATTATCTCTCTCCTGAAGTTCTCAACAAACAAGGACATGGCTGTGAATCAGACATTTGGGCCTTAGGCTGTGTAATGTAAGTAAATGGATGAAAATTACCAAAAAGCAAATTTAGATTTAAATCTTAGTATTCAAAAAGTTGCTTTAGAATTATTGCTAAAGAAATGTTTCCTTGCACATAGGTATACAATGTTACTAGGAAGACCTCCATTTGAAACCACAAATCTGAAAGAAACTTACAGGTGCATAAGAGAAGCAAGATATACAATGCCATCTTCATTGCTGGCTCCTGCTAAGCACTTAATAGCTAGCATGTTGTCCAAAAATCCAGAAGATCGTCCCAGTTTGGATGACATCATTCGACATGAATTTTTTTTGCAGGTTGGTGTGTTTCTTGCATCTTTTTGTTACATGCTATTGCTCAATTACCTAGCAGGTTACTAAAATTCTCTTCTGATATTCCACAGGGCTTCACTCCAGACAGACTCTCTTCTAGCTGTTGTCATACAGTTCCAGATTTCCACTTGTCAAGCCCAGCTAAGAATTTCTTTAAGAAAGCGGCTGCTGCTCTTTTTGGTGGCAAAAAAGACAAAGCAAGATATATTGACACACATAGTAAGTTATGACTTCTCTTATTCTGTATATGAAATTATATTAAATCTGAGAACTCAGTTAAAAGAGACTTTTGTTTAACATAATTCAGCCTATATCCTAGTATACTACTGAACTTTTTATAGCATAATAAATCCACACTGCAAACTGTGATTGATAGCTTTTTGTTTCATATACATTAAAGTGTGCTTCTTGCATAATTGCTATTGATGGCAATGATAAAAATGCTGATTTTTCTTTAGATGCTTGTAAGCTGGTTATTAATGCAAAAGGAGGAAATGTGGTTAGCTCTGTTCCTACCTTGTTAGGATAGAACAATGCTCATAATTCTTTTCCTTGATTTACAGATAGAGTATCTAAAGAAGATGAAGAAATTTACAAGCTTAGGCATGATTTGAAAAAGACTTCAATAACTCAGCAACCCAGCAAACACAGGACAGATGAGGTATGCTGGAAAAGAATAAAGTAGATATAAACACTTCCTATCATTTCTATTCTTTGTTAATTATCACTTGGACTATGATTATCACAGTTTAAGCATGTCATATTACTTAAAACATTTCAACCAGCCCTTTAAAAGAAAAGATTTTTCTTCTGGTTTATTTAGCAAGGCATGCCGGTTGAGTTACTGCAACATATTTTTCGTGGCTTGTGTCCATTGCTTTTTGGATTTGCTAAGCTTTCGCAGCAGTTGCCACTATTTCGTCTTAACCTAGAGTTCACCTCTTTTCTAGGAACTCCCACCACCTACCACCACAGCTGCCAGGTCTGGAACGCCCGCAGTAGAAAGCAGGCAGCAGGTTGGAGATGCTATCCGGATGATAGTCAGGGGCACTCTTGGGAGCTGCAGCAGTAGCAGTGAGTGTAAGTGGCTGTTTGCAATTGTGTTTTAAATAATGAAGCTGTAAATGCTAGGGCTCAATGCTGGGTAACTGCAGTTAGTTTGTTTCACGGCCTAATTTAATGTAAAAGAAACAAAATTAGAGGAATTGGAAAAAGACAAGGAACAATTTTGAGTCCTATATTCTTAGAATTAGTGGAGGGAAACTTAGCATCTACCAAAGACTACGGTTTGGTTGTTAATTACTTTATAACTTCCTCTGACTTTTCAGGCCTTGAGGACAGCACCATGGGAAGTGTTGTGGATACAGTGGCAAGAGTCCTTCGAGGATGTCTAGAAAACATGCCGGAAGCTGACTGCATTCCCAAAGAGCAGCTGAGCACTTCCTTTCAGTGGGTCACCAAATGGGTCGATTATTCTAACAAATACGGCTTTGGGTACCAGCTCTCAGACCACACTGTAGGTGTCCTTTTCAACAACGGTGCTCACATGAGCCTCCTTCCAGACAAAAAGTAAGTGTATCCAATTAGTGAAGTCCTGTCAGTTTTTTAGTCTTGTACTACAGAAATCTGAAAGCAGTGACTAACTGCTTCTATTTTTTTTTCTTCTCTCCTTTTCATTTCTGTTTTTAGAACAGTTCACTATTATGCAGAGCTTGGCCAATGCTCTGTTTTCCCAGCAACAGATGCTCCTGAACAATTCATTAGTCAAGTGACGGTGCTGAAATATTTCTCTCATTACATGGAGGAGAATCTCATGGATGTAAGTACTGTAGCTTTTGAGCAGTGATATTCGAAGTGCAGTCCACAGACTAGTAGCATCTGCATAGCCTCAAAGCATGTTAGAAATGCAGATTCTTATGTCTTACCCCAGATCTCCTGAATCAGAATCTAGGAGATGAGGCCAGGAGTCTCCAGGCTACTCTGATGCTTAAGTTTGAGAGGCATTTAGAAAAAGAGTGCATACTGAAAAATCCTTA